TCTGATCACCAGGTAGATAGAGGCTCGCCATCAATAAACTTTCCCCATGTACCCAAAGCTTCCAGTTGACTTTTGTAATCTGTAACATGGAAGACAGAGACCAAAACACTGAAAGGCTTCCGCTGAAACAAGAGAGGATGGCACATTGTATTTTTCTCACTTCCTTCCCTTTCTTCCCTCCTACAGTGTTTTGCTAAGTAGCCCAATCTGGCCTTGAACTGGCATTCCCCCTCCCTCAGCCTTCTGAGTGCTGCCATGCCCAACACTCAAATTTTTTCACTTATCTTCCTGGAGATAGCATCAGATGTAGTACCACAAGACTGCCCATCAATGCTTCTGTCCTGCTGGCTATAAATCCAGGTTTCTATAACCCCCTCCTTGGATTCGATTTAGAGTGGGCTCATAGAACTCAGGGAAGCACTTTATAAACTCTTGCTCGTTTATTGCAAACTTTCAAAGGATACAAATGAATAGTCCTTGGAAGAGATGCAAAAGGGAAGATATGTGAAAAAGGGTAGAAAGCTTGCACATCCTCTCTGGGTGAGCCACCCTCCAGACACCAGACACCTTTAGCTTAGCCATCTGGAAGCTCTCTGAACCCTGTGTTTTTGGCTGGGGATGGAGTCTAAATTATGTAGTCATGATTGGTTACAACACTGGCCATTGGTAATGAACTCAGCCTTCAGCTCTTGCCATTCTCCTCTCCCCAATGGTTGGTGGTAAGAGGAATGAGGCTGAAAGTTCCAACCCTCTAATCACATAATTATTTCCCCTGGCTTACCAGCCTCCCCATCCTGAGGCTATCCTGGAGTCCTCAGCCACTAGTTATCTCATTAGCATAGAAAAAAGATAATTACTTAAGAAACTGCATCAAGTTTTTAATAGCCCTGTGCTAGGAAATGGGGTTGGGAGCAAATATTTCTTATAAATCTTGATATCCAAGGGAAATAAAGTTTCTATTCTGTGTACTTGCATGATCATTGCAGCATTATTTACAATAGTTAAGATATGGAAATGATGTAAGAGGAACAGATGAATGGATAAAGATGTGGGGTGCTGTATGTGTGTAAAGTGGGATATTATTTAGGCCTAAGGAAAAAAATTAAAGAAATCCCGCCATTTGCAACCACATGGATGTTTTGAGGGCAAATAGACTAGACACAGAAAGTCAAATACTTAATGACCTTACTTATATGGAGACTCATAAAAAACAAAGTTGAACTCACAGTGACAGAAAGTAATGATTACTAGGCATTGGGAGGAGGGGGAAAAAAGAGAGATAATGGTCAAATGGAACTGTTATCTGAGCTCCTGGCCATAAAAGCTTGGCTCTGGCTCTGAATACTTGTTCACAGTTAAAGAAAATGACATTATATATAAAAAACAGAAAAATGATTTTATTTATAGTTTTGACCAAAACTTGGGAGAGAGAAATTTTAATCTGTTTTTGCCTTGCCTGTAGCAACATTATAACATACAGAAAAGGTGAAACAAAAGCAATATGTATAGGTGGATTTAGCTTTGTGTCCCAGTTACCAGAATTAGGAGATAGTCTTTCTCCTGGAAGATAAGTTTTTCTCCTGGTGGCAGGGCTCTTGGAACAGCCCATTTTCACTTCCAGAATGGTATTTTCTACAGAGATCCTAATTTCCAGGGCTTCATTTATAGTACCATTCTTCAGTAGTTACAAAATGAGTAAGTACTATAAGGCTTAATGTATAGCATGGTTATAGTTAAAAATACTGCACTATATACTTGAAATTTGCTAAGAGAGTAACACTCAAGTATTTTCACAGCACACAAAATAATTATGTGAAGTGATGGGGATATTAATTAGCTTGGTTATGATAATTTATAATGTGTACATATATCAAACTATCACATTGTACACTTTAGATATACAAAGTTTTTATTTGTCACTCATACTCCAGTAAAGCCGGGGGAAAGATAAAGAGGGAAAAAGTGGAGCACATTCACAGCAGCCCTTCCTGGAAACTAGCAGATGTGAAAATGGTACCTTAAAGTTTCAAATATGCAAAGTCTCATAAGTTTTTCACATGCTCCCTTTCTTAGCAGAATGTGTTATACCCAAATGTGTGAGTAAACTGAAAAAGGAATTCTTCATGTCCAAGTTTAGGAATGCACAGGGCTAGAGAGCAACCAGTCATTTTTAGAGAAGGGGCGTTGTATCCTGAAAAACTTAGAAAGTGATAGATGATATGTTTGTCCATGTAGAGAGGTTTTACAGTTCTGTCAGAGTCAAGCACAAATTATTGATAGGCATATAGAATATAATGCAAAGGAAAAAATGGAACTATAGGATTAACAAAAATTACAGGAGAAAAGTAATGTAATTCTGCTACTTTATGAGGTTAGTCTGTGGATATAATCTTGGTTATAATAATGTAAATACTGGATTTTGATTTAATGAAAAATTGTGACATAGCTATAATAATAACAAATGTTTTTGATTTTTTTTCCCATTCTGGGTATTGAACCCAGAGCCTTGCTCATGCTAGGCAAGTGCTGTACCTCTGAACTGTATTCCCAGTCCCAATAGTAAAGATTTATTTAGCACTTATCATACTCCAGACATTGTTGAAAGTATTTTACATATAGTAACTCATTTAATTCTTACATCAACCATGTAAGACAGGTACTGTCATTATTTTCATTTTATCTATGAGGAAACAGGGCATAGAAGTTAAATGGCTTGTTTACGATCATGTGATTGGCATGTTTCAGTATAAGAATTCCCTGTGACTCCAGAGCCCATGCTCTTTAACTACTATTCTATGCTTCTGAAGAGAGTGGAAGTATGGTTATGTGAGTTGATGGGGGAGAGGGAAGGGGATGGTGTTGGTGATAATGGAGGTTGTGTTGTAATGTAACAGATTCAATCCTTATCATCTTTAGTGAGACCCCAATAAATAAAATTTATAATTTCATGTTATTTATGAATACAAGGGTAAATAGCTGAAAACCAACTAAAAGAGTTTAAAGTAGATATTGGATCTTGGTGGTTTAAAGTAGAATGAGAATTCTTTTTCATCAGCTTTATAATGCTATTTGATTTTTAAAACTATGTACATGATATCAGCTGATAAAAAAGTTAAAAATTACCGAAGAAAATAATTCAGTAGCATTTAATTTATAATGAAAGATAAATGTTTATTTAGATTAGAAGACAGTAAGATATTAACCACTTTCAATTGGCAATTATATTAATTACTTGATGTATTAAAAGTCTAATAGCTCAAACATTTTAGTGTTTAAGTGAAAAATTTCAGTAGCTAAATCAGACTTAGTATCTTGTAAAATTATGAAATATTCTCCTTTTCACTTGGAATTATAATTACTTTTTAATGTAGTTGTCTTACTATTTTCTTTTTTTATAGTTTTAATGTAAACTTTATTTTTTTAAGATTAGGATATATTCATTGTGCAGGGGGGATTCAAAATGACAATTCCAAATAAGCTTATATCGTACATTGGTTACATCACTGTCTTTCCCCCTCAACCCCTCCCTACCCCACTTAAAGCAGTTGCAAGGGGGTTTCATATATGAAGTCCATCAACCATATACTCTCACCTTAATCTCCTTCATTCACCCTCCCACTAATACCCTCCTACTTATTTCATAGTTCTGTCTTTCATTATTAATATTGAAGTCGATGTTTATAGGGGTTGCTCAGTGTATTCCCACTGTGAGTATACTTTATTTTGATCTGTTCAGCCTCTTCCATTACTCTCCCTTACCCCTTACCTCCCACCCCCCATTTTTCAGTAGCTTTCAATACATAGCCTTATATCATCTACCTTCACAAATGTTGTTTTATGATATTGTTGACACTTTATCATTCTTTTTTCCTTTCTCTCTTTCTCTGAGTTCCATAGAGTAGTTCCACTATTACAAACATGTTCTACATATGAGTTTATATATGATAATGCTTGTTTTTGTGCCTATGTTTATTTTTTGGCTCTATCTTTGTCTTTCTGAGCTTGGCTTCACTTAGCATGATGTTCAATTGCATCTATTTACCTTCAAACCACATGTCATTATTCCTTATGACTGAGTAAAACTCTACTGTGTATATATACCACATTTTCTTGATCCATTCACCAGTTGTAGGGCATCTAGGTGGTTTACATAGCTTAGCTGTTATGAATAGTGCTGTGATGAACATCAGTGTACAGGTGTCTCTACTGTATTCTGCTGATTTTTTTTGCATATGGTATAAGGCAATATAATCCTGTAGAACAATATTTTTATTGGAAAATTTAGGAATATTTATTTGATATCATTCATAGTGACTGCATTTAATTTTCGTAAAGCTGACTGACAGTTTTCTTGCCTCTCATTTCCCATCTTTTTAAATACAACATTAATGTTCACATAAATTTTTATCCCTATTATTCCCTTCCTCCATGACTAATGAAAGTAATTTCTCAGGGCGGTTTTCTAATTGAATTGACTAGTGCTTTCTGTTCTTATTTTTTTCTAACTGACCTACTATTATACATTTCAATGAATTCACTCTCCCATATTTATGTTATATTACCCTTTCTTCAGTGTTTACACCAAACTTCTTAGTGGTTTTCATGAGATTATTTTAAAGAATTACATATATTATTCTGTTCACAGCAAATCAGTGAATGATGTATTTCCTTTTTTTTTCTAATAAAGGCAGATTCCATGAGTTGTAAATTTTATATTGTTTAGTGGTTTGTAAATTCTACTTTTGATAAGAAAACCTTGAGTGAAATATAGAAAAATTAACTTACTTTTTCCAATAAAAACAGAGATGGCAATAAAATTTTAATTCAGATCAGTATTGTCAGATTTTTCCAGCTAGTGCTGGAAGTACAATTTATTTAAATACACACAGTGTCAAGATTATTATGTCTCAACATAATTTGAAGTTATTAAAATATATAAGTAATACATACCATTATTTTTGGAACTGTGTAACTAAATCTAAGTCATTATTTATTAACAGATATGCTTAAAAGGTAAAATACACATATTTAAATACTTAAATATCCAAGCATGTTGTAGAATGGATAAAAAACCAGATTCCTTGGATCTTCCATCACTGAGTAAACGAATGCCCTCTCAGCCTTTCACAGACAGGTAATGTAATATTCCTTACAGTCTCACTTAATTGTAATTGTTGTCCTCTCTTTTTAAAATGATATTTATTATTCTTGGGCATACTAAGTAAATTTAGGCTGATTGGTCCAGTGTTAAAAATCAGCAATTGGCTGAAGCTAAATAATACCATCATGGAATGAACTTCATGGATACTAGAATAAACTTGAGATAATTACTATTTTAGGAGTAAAAATGTGAAAGTTTTACATTATGGTGCAGAAACACTAATTTCTTGGCTATAACAACTGTTAATTTACTTTTGTGATCACTGTATTCTACATTTGTAATAGCAAGTAGAATTTGACTTTGAACTGAGGTTGGTGGAAGAGCAAGGCATTTTGGAGGTACCTTTCTTCCATTTGTCATTCCCTCTCTCCCTTCCTTCCTTCCTTCCTTTCTTCCTTTATTCCTTCCTGTGCTGGAGATCAAACCTCTAGACATTTGCTCTATAACTGAGCTATAGCCTCAACCCCTTTGTCATATTCTTTATGTCCAGATCAAAGATCATTGATGTTCTTTATGATTTTTGTGTTTCCTTCTCAGGAGATTTTGAAGTGGTAGATTTGACAGTCTCTTTTTAATTTATCCTTTTAAGGTATAGATTGGTCTGAATGATTATATGAAAATATAATGCTACGCAGTAGTATGGATTATAACTTGGATGGGGGTGAGACTACAGAATGGGAGACTATGCCTCTGCCTAAAATATTTGGAGGCTTCTCATTGTATATATGATAAAGTTGTAGATTGCTTCAGATGGCAATATAGTAAACAGTGCATACTCTTGGATTCCCAAATAGGACTTTTTCTTGAATATTTCTGTTACTTGAGTAGAATTAAATATCTAAATATCCTTACCTTTGTTAACTTACTTTTTATTTAAAATGAGTTTATTAATGAAATTCACTGTTTTAGTCATTATGTTACAAATATCAGTTGAATGCTTACTGGTAGATTCAGGGTATGTTATGCTGAATACATGTTTATCTTAGTCCTCATGGAGCTCGGTCTAGTAGAGGAGTCAGCAAAGCAGGAATATATATATGTTCTCAGTTCATTTTGTGCTGCTATAAAAGAATACCTGAGATTGCATAATTTATAAACAATAAAAGTTTGTTTGTCTAATGGTTCTGGAGGCCGAGAAATCCAAGATAAAGGGGCTGCATTTGGTGAGGTCTTTATTGCTGTGTCATAGAATGACAGAAGGGCAAGAGAAAGTGAGAGAGGAGAAAAGGGAGCCAAATTTACTCTTATAACAAACTTAATCCCAGGAAAATGGGCCTACTTCCACAACAGCAAAATGAATCTACTTACGAAGGCAGACCTTTCATGACCTAAATATCTCCCATTAGGTCCCACCTCTCCACACTGTTGCATTAAGGATTAAGTTTGCAACACATGATCTTTGATGGCACATTTAAACTGTAGCATGCCTGTGCACACAACACAAGATAGTGTCTGACTTAACAGTGCTTCGATTTTACCATTTTTCGACTTTGTGATGGTGTTTAAGTGACACAGGTTTAGTAGAAACCATACTGTGGATTTTGTCCTTTTCCCAGGAGAGTGGTATATAGTTTAATACTCTTTCATGATACTGAGAAACCATACTGTGGATTTTGTCCTTTTCCCAGGAGAGTGGTATATAGTTTAATACTCTTTCATGATACTGAGCAACTACAGTGAAGTGCCACGTCCCAGTTATCCACGTTCAACACATTGTAGTCTGTGTGTATGTTCTATCTTTTCTTAATTATTAGATGGGCATTATTTATACAACTAACACATGGTTTTGGAATTAATGAAGAGGAAACTGTATAAAGTCAAAAAATACTTGTCATAACAATGAAAATAATAAGTATTTTAAAAAGATGATTTTTATGAAGGCAGAGTCTGCTTTTCCGAATTTCACTGGAGAAATAATAGGTTGTTAACAATTGATATTTTATAACAGATGACATGAAAGAAAAATATTGCATAAATGACATGAATAAAATGTTTTGTAGGAAGACTTCTGATATTTTCCTCTTGTAGTCCTTAAGGATGTTAGACATGAAACGTATGTTTTGCATTATTTAGGGAAATTTTAGGTCAACTGTGCATTGTTTTTTAAGAACAAAATTCTAACTGCCTTTAGGATTTCTATTTCTGTAGTATGGAAGATTTTTATCCTAATAAAAATCATGGCCCTGACTCTGGAATTGGAAGTGATAATGGAGAGAAACGATTATCTACAACGGAAGTGAGTCTCTTCTATTGCTGATCTGTTTTATTTTGAAATTTTATTAGAGCTTTGAGGTAGAGATGCTTGCACACATTTGACCTGAAAATATGATTTGATCATTGTTATATTTTATGACTTCAAATGAAAAAATTATCTACTGATTTTTAAAAGCAGAACAGTAATTCTTAACATAGTAATTTGTACTCTGAAAGCTGGATATATAAAGCAGATATTTTATAATTCAAATGTTTGATTAAAGGAGTATAATCCTTATATAGTTCACATGCTTCATTTGTACTTTGTGCTTGTTCCTTTCAGCCTTCAGACGATGATACAATCAGTCTTCACTCTCAAGTCTCAGAATCAAATAGAGATCAAACATCAAGAAATGACAGTCATACAATAGGAAATAAGCCTGATTCTCAGAAAGGTAATTCCTGTGGTGCCTGCTACTTTTATTTTATGTTCATAGCCCTTATTAAAAATGGGTTTTGAAAAAAATACAGCGCTTTTCGCTAACTCCTACATTGTGAAAAGAAACTTTTATTCTAAGCACTGCAGTACCATAGCATTTACTATTATATTTTAAAATAAATATTTATCTGTAATTAGATCAGGAGGTGTATGATTTTATTGACCCCAACACAGAGGATGTAGCAGTTCCTGAACAAGGAGATACACATATTGGATCACTTGTCTCTTTCCTTAAGGTAAATAAAACAAAACAAATATTAATAACATGTTGTACTTGATCTTACAAAAGTGGACCATAAATTTAAAATGATAATTTTCTTTTATATAGGGAAAGGAAAAAGGCTGTGAAAAATCTCAGAAAAATGAAGAATTGGGGAATGAAAAAAGGTAAGCACATGGATTCTCAAAATGAAATGTTACTTATGAATATTTGAACTATTTTCATTACATATTCCAACTTAAAAGACTTCTTGAAAGAATTTTTTTTCTCATTTCTGTTTTGCTTAGATAGTTCATTTGCAGGTACTTTATCTCTCTGAATTCCTTAATTAAGCTCAAAATTACAGTATACATGTAAGTGAGTGTAGGCTATATACTACTTTTTCTTCCCTGAAGTATAATAATAATGTCTCCTATTTTATTACTGAAGAGGACTATATCTTCATGTACATTGCTTCCCTTGAGCTCTTTAACAGCCCTCTAAAATAGATGGTATTGACACCATTTTACCAATGAGGAAACTGAGATCGGGAGCTCCAAATATCTGAAACTCTGGTGTTCTGTCTTTCGATCTGACACACTTGACATTTTGTCAAGCTAGTTATGGCAATTTTAATGGTATTTACTTTCATGTCTTATTAAAATAATTTTTTTTATTTGGTGGCACTGAGGTACCTCACTCTTGGTAGGCAGGCATTCTTAGCACTTGAGCCACTCTGCAAGCCTTTTTATTAAAATAGTTGTGATTTAGATCTTTTCTTTGTCCTTCATCTTATGAAATGATGGGATATGACCTACCACATTTTTGCATTCATCCCTTCAGATTGCATTGTAACTGCAATGCAAGGAAGGAAGGAATGTTTGTTGAATGCCTACCATGTACTAGGATAGGTATGGTATCCTTTTCCATGTTTCTCATTTAATCTTTGCTAAATCCATGTAGGGTAGGTTTTTAATTTGCTTATACTTTTAATTTGTTGAATAAATGAATATTTGTTAATATGTACAAAATCACAAAGAGTGAGTGCTAGATTTAGAGCAAAATATTTGGGTACTAATACACAAAGCCACTTACCAGTTACAAGGGCTTAAGCAGAGAAGTTAATCCAAACTTAGCTTTTTCATCTATAAAACTAGGCTGTACAGGCCTGTAAGGTCACCATGCAAGCTTACTGCAAGGTTCGAATGCAGAAATATTTGAAGTTCCAAGTAATACAACTTAGAGCAATAAAAATATAACAATTGAATAATTAAATTTCACATTGACGAATACTTAATCACATCCTTAGATTGTAGTAGTGTACTGATACTGATGGAGTCAACAAACAAGTGACAGACTACCTGGTTACTTATGAGAATGAGTATGCCATTCCTGGTATTGAATGCCTGGTGTTGACCCCATTTTTATAGATGAGGAAAGTGAAGTTCAGAGACTGTATTTTGTACCTAAAACTTCTTAGCTAGAGTCCACTAGTATCTAAGGTATGAACTGAACTTAACCAAAACCTTTTGTATTTCAATATTATTCAGTCTCTATCATTCTTTTCTTCTTTCCTCCTCTTTTACTCTTAACAGTCCTACCTTTTGAAACTTGTTCTTTCTCTATATATGTATATACATATGACATGTATATGACAATGCTTATATTTGTATTTGTATCTGTCTTCCATATATGAGAGAAAACATTCAACCTTTATCTTTCTGAACTTGGTTTACTTCACTTAACGTGATGATCTCAAGTTCTATCCATTTATTTTCAAACAGCATAATTTAATTCTTCTTTATGACTGAATAATACTCCATTATGTATATATTTCCCATTTTCTTAATTCATTCATCAGTTGTAGGACATTTAGATTGTTTCCATAGGTTGGCTATTGTGAATAATGCTGCAATAAACATGGGTGTGTCTTTTTAGTGGCATTGCTGGATAGTATGGTAGTTCTATTTTTAGTTTTTTGAGGAGCTTCCATACTGCTTTCCATAGTGGTTGTACTAATTTACATTCCCACCAACAATGTATGATGGTTCATTTTTCTCCACATCCTCACCAACATTTGTTGTTGTTTGTGTTCTTGGTGGTAGCCATTCTAACAGGAGTTAGGTGGAATGTTAACATGGTTTTGATTTGCATTTCCTTTATGGACAGGGATGTTGAGCATTTCTTCATATGGATTTTGGCCATTTGTACTTCTTTCTTTGAAAATTACTCAGTTCATTTGCCCATTTCTTCATTGGGTAGCTGATTCTTTACAAAGGCCCATCAAAAATGAAGTGTTGGAATAATGCTGCAATAAAAATGGATGTGCTGGTGCCTTTATTTAACCTGACTTACATTGCATTATTCACAACAGCCAAGCAATGGAAACAGCCAAAATACCCCACTACTGATGAATGGAGGAAGAAAAGTTGGTATTTATATGCAGTGGGACTTTATTCAGCCACAAAGAAGAATGAAATTTTGTCGCTTGCAGGTGAATGGATGGAACTGGAGAACATCATCTTAAGTGAAGTTAGCCAGGTTCAGAAGGCCAAAAGTCACATGTTTTTTCTCATATGTGGAATATAGACCTAATACAAATACAGCAGTATTGTGCAAAACAGGTCTTGCTAAGGGGAGGTCACCTACAAGAGGGGGAGGATAAAAGAAGGAAGTTAAGAAGGTGAATATGGTTGATGTATTTCCTATAAAAGAATGAATATAGAATTTTTAAACCTGTTGAAGCCACAATATAAAGGGGACTAAGGTAGAGAGGAGAGGACCCAATTCAAGTTATAATACATAGATACATGGAAATGACACGAGGGAACTCCCTGTGTAGCTATCTTAAATGAACAAAAATGTCATTTTTTTTCCTTTTACAAAACTGGAGAACAGGAGGGTAGAACCATTCCTGTCTGGGGGACAGGTTGGTACCAGTGGGAGGGGGTAGGAGGTGGGGAAAGGGTGTGGGACGATGACTATAGTGCAAGTACTGTGTACACATGTATGCAAATGGAAAGATGCACCCGTTGAAACTATTCCAAGAATAAGGGGAGGAGGGATAAAGGAGAATGGGGGGGTTGAATTTAACTATGATATATTCAATATATTTAAAAAACTTTTATAAATTCCACAATGTACCCCAAGCAGCACAACAATTAAAAAGAAAGAATTTTTGGGAAGCATTACAAGTTAAATACCACAGATAAGGTTTACAGAAAGTTACAGTATAAGAAAAATATAAATAGAATAAGGATTCATAAATTTATAGTTTTTTGATTTCCCTGTAAATTCTGGTTACTAATCCCTTGTCAAAAGTATAGCCGGCAAAGATTTTCTCCCATTCTGTAGGCTGTCTCTTCAGTCTAGTGACTGTTTCCTTCACTATGCAGAATCTTTTTAGTTTGATGCAGTTGCATTTGTCAGTCATATCTCTTATTTGCTAAGCTATTGGAGTTCTATTCAGGAAGTCATTGCCTATGCCTATGTTCCAGTGTTTTCCCTATTCTTTCTTGTAGTAGTTTCAAAGTTTCAGATTTTCTACTGAGATTTTTTTTTTTGATGGGCCTGGCATTTGAACTCAGGGCTTTGCACTTGCAAAGCAGGCACTCTGCCACTTGAGCCACACCTCCAGCCCTTACATTGAGATCTTTGATCCACTTTGAATTGATGTTAGTACAGGGTGAAAGATAGGGATCTAGTTTCATTGGATATGCAGATATCCAGTTTTCCCAGCAACATTTGTTGAAGAGGCTGTCTTTTCTCCAACCTATGTTTTGGGCTCCTTTGTTGAAAATTAAATGACTGTTGCTGCGAGGATTTATCTCTGAGTCTTCTATTCTGTTTCATTGGTCTTCTTGTCTGTTTTTGTGTCAGTACTATGCTGTTTTTATTGCTATGGCTTTGTAGTACACTTTGAACTTAGGTATTGTTATGCCTCCAGCATTTCTCTTTTTGCTCAGGATTGCTTTGGCTTTTCGAGGTCTTGTGTGCTTTCCTATGAACTTCAGGATTGATTTTCCTATCTCAGTGAAGAACGTCATTGGAATTTTGATGTGGGTTGCTTTTGGTAGTATAGCCATTTCCACAGTATTGATTCTGCCAATTCATGAGCATTGAAGATCTTTCCATCTTCTGATGTCTTCTTTGATTTCTTTCTCCAGTGATTTATAGTTTTTCTTATAGAGGTCTTTTATTTTAGTATTTTAAATACAAGGAAATCAGAATTTTTACTTGTACATGGTGTTAAAAACAAAAGTGTTTTCCTTTTCTAGATGTTTACATGAAATACAGTCTTCTTTACTTTTTGAATAAACATGTTTGTGTCCGCTTTCAGACATGAGAAAGAACAGTTACTTGCAGAAGAAGATGATGATTTGAAGGAAGTAACTGATTTGAGGAAAATAGCTGCGCAGTTACTAAAGCAAGAACAGAAGAACAGGTATTCTTTTCAGTAATGAGATTTTAATAGGTAAATTTTATAATTATTAAATCAGCTCATTTAAAGATTATTGGATAAAGTTTATGCAGTTTCAAGTAAACAATAGGGTCTTCATAAGATGCATTTTGAGAGACTAATTACTAAATGACTGTAGGGAATACTTAGGAGAGAAATGTAAAGTTACATTTAGCTAACAGAATATACTCATAGAGTCACTATATTAATTTATTTTTATGGTGCTGGGGACCAAATTCAGGGCCTCATGCATGCTAATAGGTACTCTACTATGCTACATCCCAGCCCTGGTCTGTATATTTAATATTACTTAGGTAATTTTTATTTCTGTGTGATGAACCATACAACTAATTTTTTGTTGATATTCATTTTAGCTCACAGTGGCATTACTTATAAGCATTTTTCTAACTACATGTTACATTTATAAAATATACTTTTTGTTTTTATCGGATTCATAATTATGTGGGATATGTGTAAACTCGTTACAGTTGAGCTGAATTATGTAATGGTTAATTAAATTAGTGTGATGGTTTGAGGATCACAAATTCACTTTTGCTGGTCTCTTGGTCAAAGACCATTTTTCCCTCAGGTTAGACTTTTTCCAAATACATATCTTTGCCAATGAAGAGGACATACCCTGTCTCAAAAAACAAACCCCACAAAACTGAAAAAATTTATCAAATGAAGGCTGCTGTTATAACACAGTGTTAGAGTGCTTGCCTAGCATGCACTAAAATCATGGTCCATCCTGAGCACCTCAAAAACAAACACAAAACCAAAACATCAAAATTTATCAAGTGACATGTTCATGGTTTTTATGAACCACTTTTTAGGGACAATCTGGATAATTGCTAATAAGATAAATAGCCATTAACCTAAGCTAAGTATCTTTTTCCACAGCTACTACATTAATAGATTAAACTCTTCATAGTAGAAAATATCACTTACCTTTATCCCTTCTATATCTAGTGAATTCTCATTCTGTTTACATTTTTCTTGTACCATAACTTTCTGTAAACCTTATGTGTGATATTTAACTTCTAATCTTTCCCAATAATTCATTTCTGGTGGGCCATTATAAAACTTTAAATTGGGGACTGTATTTGTGTTTTCCCCTTCCAATATCATCTAAGTGTTGATCACTTAGATGTGTGGTTTAAGAGATTTGATGAAGTCCACCATCACCTACTTTGTGGAACTTAATAAAATAGTTGAGTGTGTATCTCCTCTACCTAGCAGGTGAAAGAGTGGTATTTATTATTATGGGAAGAGAATAGTGATTTTGCTTAAGATTCTACAATAATACCCATTTTTCCTCATAGTGTTAAGAATAAAAGCATATGAGTGAATAGTTTTAGATTTTGACATTGCCATATATAATATTCCTAAAATTTTCATTTCTAGTATTATCATATTAGTTTTTCTTCTATCCATGTGACTTAAATTATTCATTCTAGCCTAGGTACAACATCAACTGAATAGGTCACCTTATATAGGTTTTGTTTTTGTGATTGTATAAAATAGCACCTAGCATTTTTTCTCATACATTGTTGAAATATTACTAGTTCCTTGAAACTTAAATCAAATTTAAAACTAATAGAATCCATCAATCTAGATAAAAATTATGTTCTTGAATAGCTTCTGTTATTCTTTAAGATGTATGCAGAAGTAATTTCTACTATTATCTGATTTTCTTCATTCTTTTTAGATGTTAGCACTATGAATATAGTTTTGAACTCAGGCCTTCATGTTTGCTAGGCAGGCACTTCATCATTTGAGCCACTCTGCCAGCCCTGAATGTAAGAACTCTTTAGACAAAGTATTAATATGCAATGACTTTAATGTTGTAATAATTGTGTCTAAATTTTGAAGGTGTTAAAATATTTTTATGAGGCATTCATATGCTTTTTATTCTTAACACTATAAGAAAATAGAATCTTAAAAAATATTCTCTTCCCATAATGATAAACAGAATGTTTCACCTGCTAGTTAGAAGAGATATAAGGTCAACTATTTTTTTAAGTACCATAAAGCAAGTATGGAACCTATGTGTTAGGTCTTAACCTAGTCAGTGTAGTTTCTTTTTTGTTAGTCTTGATTAAAAATAATTTATACAGAATAAGAATTGCCATTCAATACTCCTACTTTGTGTACTGAACTACTCTTTAGCTTGCTACTGTTTGAAGGTAAATGCAGTATCAACTTTAGGCTGAAAGAAGACATGTAGGTACTCCAAAACTAGAGGTAATTTAAAAACTACTTGTGTCGACTTCAGTGGTGATTTTCTTTTAGCTGTTTTGCTACTTGTTTAGTTTGTAGTATTTTAAAAAGCATCTTTGATTCTTTAAGAAAATTTGCATTATTATTTGGTGGTTAAACTATCCTAGGAGAGTAATAAGAGGTCAGTGTACGGAATTAATAATAAAGAATGGTGGGAAAAGATGTCAGCAAATAAAATATCAAGTAGCTAACTCATAAGGGTTCAAAGTCTGAAGCCTAGTTAATTAGAAGAAGCCCCTGCCCCCTTTTTTTTTGTCTGAAATACATAGATGAAAATGCAGCAGTGGCTCATGCCTATAGTCCCAGCCATTTGGGAGGCTGAGATGGGAGGATCTCTTGAGCCTAGGAGTTGGACAACATAGGAAGATCATGGCTCAAAAAAATAATTGTTGCTTTGCTGTTAAAGTTTATTGTTGAATGAAAGAAAAAGAAAAATCGCAACTGGCTAAACATTGTGTCCTGTGCTTGTGATCCCAGCTGCACAGGAGGCTATAGGTAGGAGGATTAGGAGCAAAAATACAAAAACCTAACTGTAAAATAACTAAAGCACAAAAGGGCTGAGATGTGTTTCAAGTGGTAGACCTGCCTAGCTAGCATGAAGTTCTGAGTTCAAACCCCTGTACCAAAGCATCTTCATCCCTCTGTGACAATATTGAATAAGTACTTCTAATTGTGTCGGAGTGTATGAAGACCCTCTGAATTGATGACTTGAATTATATTAAAGTAGATATTTAGCAAGTCCTAATATTATCTTCATTGTAACTTGGAAAATATGAAACTGGATGTGGGGGGACACATCTATAATCCCAGCACCTAGGAGGCAGAAGCAAAAGGATAGAGTTCAAGGCCAGTCTGGGCTAACATAGTGAGATCCTGTCTCAAAAGATAGAACTAAACAACTCCCCCCCAAAAAGCAACCCCTCAAACCCAACAACCCCAAATTATAGTCTTTAAAAAGTCATTATCTTAAAAATAATGCTTAAAGTGAATAAATTCTTGCGATCTATTGTACATTGCACCTATAGTAAACAATACTGTATTGTACACTTAAAAATGAGTTAAGAGAGTAAACCTCATATTAAATATTTTCAACACAATGAAATTGAAAAAAGGAACATGTTTTTTAGGTAGGAAAAAAATCAACAAAGAAGCTGAGAATAAAATGATAGATTATTCTCTTTTTTGTGGTGCTGGTGATCAAAAGAAATATTCTTAATGTTAACTTGAGAATAAAAGAAAATTAGTTCTGTTGAAAAAAACAAACAAAATAATGTTGCTCTGCAAATTATTGACCAGTTCTCCAAATTTTCACCAGTCCTACTCATGTATGTAGGATTATAAATAAACATCCTACTCTTGTATTATTAGCCTCAGAAAAGTGGCTACTACTCTTTCTCTTATACTGATTGTCTTATGTGGTTTAAGATGCTTTAGTTAGCATCTGAAGATATGGTTATCATCCTGAAGGAAGTATTAAAATACATATAGACTTTTAGAATCAACAGGTTCCCATTATATGTTTATTTCTGCTAATTTATAGTATTTTGTGTTATGTCTTTGCTTTTAATAGTTATTTTATTTGCTTTTAGGGTTTTTTTTATTATGGAAGGATATACTGCTGAGTACAATATGATATAGCTAAATAAGAAAAAGGCGCTTATGAAATATTAAATAATTAAAATGTAATTAATGATCACAGAAAGTAAAATCAGACTTTGAGATATTTATTATTTTAGTTTAAAATTATAGAAATTATTACATTATGTGTTTCTTGCATAATTTTTATTTAATTATATCAACATTTCAATTTAAGGAGCATTGTGTGCACCTCCAGTTTGTTATAACTACTTGGATAGTTCTGTCAACTCTTGAAACCGAGCCATTCTTTCTTTTCTGCTTCCTTTACTAATGACTTCCTTGTCTTCTCCAAAACCATCACCTTCCTTCTGCCATCTTTTGGTTTGGTTGATATATGTGAAATGTGAATATAGATGGAGGCCTTTAACTTGTAGAGCATCATTCAATGACAAACTCTTCCAGAGGACCAGAGCAGCAGGACGGAAATCAAGGTATCTAGAGTTGGTGGAAGCCTTAAGTGTTAAGGGGTCAGGTTCATGCAGCTGAATTGTGTAGTCATTTACTTTAAATAAGTACTGAGCACTGTGTTAGGGGAGTGTGTTAATAATCTAGAATAGGTATTTAGATAAACTAGATGTTTATCACAGAGTAAAACATAAAAATATCAATGTACATTGGAAAATTTACATAGATGAATTCTCAAGTGTATAATATATGTCATAGATAAGTGGATCTCAACTTTTTTTCTGCTACAATATGAATCATACACGTCAGCCATCACAACCCTAGTGAGTGTGGTGGCATGGCTCAGGTAGTTGAGTGCCTGCCTAGCAAGCACAAGACCCTGAGTTCAATCCCCAGTACCAGCAATGTATGTATATACATATATAAATATATATATATATATATATATAATTTTCTAGCAAAGGTACTCATAGACTAGATGCACTTTAGTTTGGAGATGTTTAATGTCATGTGTATGCAACATTGTCTTTAAAATATTTTATAATTATGTGTTTATTTAATTCTAGGATTCTCAGTCATTCAACTTCTGTCATAAGAACCAAGCTGAAACAAACTGTGGAATGTGAAAAGAGGTATAAATATATGTTAGTCCTTATATTTAGTATTTTATAGTGAGACTTGTTCTTATGATAGGGATGTTTCCATATATAGACTTCAACTGAATAAATGATATAGATATAATTATATAATTTAGAGAGGAAATATGTCCATTTAGTTTTGATATAGACAACACTAACAATGTTTGAGTTTTGCTTATACCTGCAGTTTGCTTTGATAATAGACTCATTCATTCATTCATTTAGCAAATGTTTATCATATTGCTATTACTGCCAGGAAGTATTTTTTCATCTTTGATTATGTTTATTCTCTATTGTATCGTTTACATTTTGATTTCTTTCAATTGGGTGTTACTGAATTTTTGCATAAGGATACCTGATCTAAGTTCGTATATGTGAATTCCAGGGAACTAGAAAATATTGGAAATTTCTATTTATTGCTTTTGGTGGTTTGAAAATTTACATTAGACTCAACTCCTGAGTCAATCCCACGAAGTATAAAGTTCCATGTCCAGAGGGAAGCACACAAGCATACACAGAATTAACAGTTGTTGGATGCTTGCTGTGTGAGTACTATTCTTAGAGCTTTAAATGTGCTGTCTCATTTAATCCTCACAGTAACATGAAGTTGTTACTGTTGGTATCCGCGTTTTATAGATGAGTAAACTGAGACTCAGACATTATCAAAACTTGTTCAAGATCACTTAGCTAGTAAGTGATAGGGTCAGGATTCAAATCTGGATTTGTCTGATTCCAGAACACCAAGTCTTAACATATGGCAACAAGAACACTATGCTTCCTCCAGATACACAAATCTCACTGGTTCTCTTTTCCTAGATACCTCACAGTCCTAATGGGATTTATTTTCCTCAAATCTGTTCCTTCACCTAGTCTGCCCAAATGATTGTGCAACTATTTCTACAGTCACTCAAGTTGGCAACTTTGGGATCATTGGAAAGTTCTGTCTATTTACCCTCTCAAACCAGCCAATCACAGAAAATTCGAGCTTTTTAACATTACTTCCATCTATCCCACCCTGTCCATTCCTATTCCAGTTGTATTGGCTCAGGTTCCATCATTTTCCACTTGGGTTACGGCAATAAGTCTTCAGACACAACTCCGTTCTTTAGTTTTTCCTAGCTTTAAGTCTGTCTTTTGTATTATAGAAGAGTGATGGTTATAAAACACAAGTCTAACAGTGCAACTCTCATTTCTTGTTTTCTAGTGGCTCTTTGTAACTTTTATAGTAGAGCTTAGCTGTTTAGCTTAAACCATTAAGTTGAAGTGGGTTTCTGCTTACCTTCAGCCTCAGATGAGGGCCTCTCCTCATTCACATTCCTACCTATATCCTTTGAGTTTAGGAACAGAACTCTTCATTATTCCAGTATGATTTCATATCTCTGTGTTCAATATCCAGGTCTCTCTGCAAGGATTGCCCTTTTTATCTTCCTTTCTTCCTTCCTTCCTTCCTTCCTTCCTTCCCTCCTTCCTGTCTTTTAGAATTCAGTTCAATTCTGCTTGGTTCGTGTGAGTTCCTCATGGTGGATGCCATCACATGTGTAGAAGAGATCACATAGTGAGACAGGAAGCCAGAGAGATTCAGGGGTCAGGCTCACTTTTCTTTTTCTTTCTTTTTTTTAAATTTAGCAACCCATTCTTCCTTTCTTCTTGTAAATTAGTGAGCATTAATTGTACAAAAAGAAGTTTCATTATGAAACTTTCATAAGTGTGTATCATGTACTTTGATCAAATCATCCTCTCTATTATACTCTCTTAACCTATCTCCCTCTTACCCTCCTATTTAAAGAGTATTTAGTGAATTCCACTATGTTATCTTCATATATATGTTATATATTTTGATCATGTTCACCCCCTCAACCTTACCCTCTTCTTTCCCACTCTTCCCTCCTGCTAATTCCCCTCAAACTCTCCCACTTTTACACTCATGTCCCATTATTGTTATTATTATCACTTTAGGTAGATTCTACATATTAGTAAAAGCATGTGATATTTGGCTTTTTGAGCTTGGTTTATCTTGCTCAATATGATGATCTCCAGTTCCATCTATTTTCCTGCAAATACCATAATTTCATTTTTCTTTATAGGGATGATTAATATTCTAACATATGTGATAATATATCACATATATTTATATCTGATATAAATATATCACATTTGATTTATCCATTCATTGATTGTTAGGCATCTAGGCTGATTCTGTAGCTTGTCTTTTGTGAATAGTGCTGTGATAAACATGGGTGTGCAGGTTATATCTCTTGTATCTTGACTTATAACTCCTTCAGATATATGCCCAAAAGTGGTGTAGCAGAGTATTAAGACAGTTCTATTTTTAGTTTTTGTTGAAATCTATACTGATTTCCATAATGGTTGTACTAATTTACATTTCCACAAACAGTGTATAAGCCCCTTCTTCTCATTATATTAGTGGTTGTTTGAGGGTCTGAATGGTTGTTGAGGGTTTCTGGGGTTTGAACCCAGGTCTTGTTCATGTTAAGTAAGCACATATTCTACCCAGAGCTATACCACCAGCCCTTAGAATTTAAAGTATAATTTTTAACTTATCACAGTCTGTCTTCAAGTGCTATTATACTACTTCATGTATCACATAAGAATTTTAAAACAGAATGCTTATTTATATTTTTTGCCTCCTGGCCTTGTGTTCTTGCTGTACATTTTTATGTTTTTATTTTTACTTTGAGTCATGAATTCCTCCCCACCTCCCTCTCTTTCTTCCCTCTCTCCCTCCTTCCCTCCTTCCCTTTCTTCCATTGAATCCAGAGCCTCACACAAGTGTTCTGCCACTGAGTCACATCCTCTGCTCCAGTAATTTCTTAAAGACTTTGAAATAATCTCAATAATGTCTTTTATGTGTTTCCCACCTTAGTTATTATTTTCAGTGCCCTTATTTCTTTGTGTAGATCTGTATTTCCACATATATCATTTTGTTCTATCTAAAAGAAGTTCTTCAACATTACTTTCGTTGCTGTTCTGCTAGTGCTGAATACTTTTAGTCTTTATTTCACTTTCATTGTTTTTTTCTTTTTGTTTTGTTATGCTGTTTTGAGGATCAAACTCAGGGCCATAAGCAAGCACTCTACCACTGAACTACATCCCCAGCCCTTCATCTTCAGTTCTGGAAGAAATCTTTACTCACACAAAACCTAGGTTGACATTTTCAGTATCCTAAAGAGATGTCTTCAACATTCTCTGGATTGTGTTGTTGGTTAGGAGCAGTGGGCTGCCCTTCTTATCTTTGTTTCATTGAACCCCATGTGTCCTTTTTTTTCTGGCTGCTTTTATCACTTATTTTGAGTAATTTGTGATGTGAATGCGATTTTGTTGTTGCTGTTTCTTTTGCTTGGAGTTCATTGAGCTTCTTGAATTATGAGTTTGCTGGTTTTTTATGAAATTGGTAAATTTGGAGGTCCTTATTTCTTCAAATATCTTTTCTGTCACTTGACCTCTTCTATTATGAAATTCCACTTGTATGTAAATTAGGCAATTTGAAGATTCCTGCAGATTACAGATGCATTCTATTCTTTTTTGAATATTTTTCTTTTTGTTTGATTTTGGCTAGGTCTTTTGGTATTACTGCATGCTCACTAATTATTTCTTATGAAATGTCTGATCTATAGTTAATCCCACACAATTTATTTTAAATTTGAGATGATTTAGATTTTATTTCATGAACTTTGACCATGTTTGTATTTACCATGTTCGGTCTTTAGCATCCTGAACATTGCCTGGTTGAATTTTTGACTGAATGCTAGGCATTGTGAATTTTCCTTTTCTTGGATGTTGATACTGTAGTGTTACTATAGATCTATAGATATTCTTTTTTTTTTTTTTTTTTTTTCATTTTTCTTTTATTATTCATATGTGCATACAAGGCTTGGTTTATTTCTCCCCCCTGCCCCCACCCCCTCCCTTACCACCCACTCCACCCCCTCCCGCTCCCCCCCTCAATACCCAGCAGAAACTATTTTGCCCTTATCTCTAATTTTGTTGTAGAGAGAGTATAAGCAATAATAGGAAGGAACAAGGGGTTTTGCTGGTTGAGATAAGGATAGCTATACAGGGCATTGACTCACATTGATTTCCTGTGCGTGGGTGTTACCTTCTAGGTTAATTCTTTTGATCTAACCTTTTCTCTAGTTCCTGGTCCCCTTTTCCTATTGGCCTCAGTTGCTTTAAGGTATCTGCTTTAGTTTCTCTGCATTAAGGGCAACAAATGCTAGCTAGTTTTTTAGGTGTCTTACCTATCCTCACCCCTCCCTTGTGTGCTCTCGCTTTTATCATGTGCTCACAGTCCAATCCCCTTGTTGTGTTTGCCCTTGATCTAATGTCCACATATGAGGGAGAACATACGATTTTTGGTCTTTTGAGCCAGGCTAACCTCACTCAGAATGATGTTCTCCAATTCCATCCATTTACCAGCGAATGATAACATTTCGTTCTTCTTCATGGCTGCATAAAATTCCATTGTGTATAGATACCACATTTTCTTAATCCATTCGTCAGTGTGGGGCATCTTGGCTGTTTCCATAACTTGGCTATTGTGAATAGTGCCGCAATAAACATGGATGTGCAGGTGCCTCTGGAGTAACAGTCTTTTGGGTATATCCCAAGAGTGGTATTGCTGGATCAAATGGTAGATCGATGTCCAGCTTTTTAAGTAGCCTCCAAATTTTTTTCCAGAGTGGTTGTACTAGTCTACATTCCCACCAACAGTGTAAGAGGGTTCCTTTTTCCCCGCATCCTCGCCAACACCTGTTGTTGTGGTGTTGCTGATGATGGCTATTCTAACAGGGGTGAGGCTGGAATCTTAGTGTGGTTTTAATTTGCATTTCCTTTATTGCTAGAGATGGTGAGCATTTTTTCATGTGTTTTCTGGCCATTTTGAATTTCTTCTTTTGAGAAAGTTCTGTTTAGTTCACCTGCCCATTTCTTTATTGGTTCATTAGTTTTGGGAATTTAGTTTTTTAAGTTTCCCG